TGCTGTATAGCTTCAGAAAGTGTCCTCAAAATATAGACTTGCTGTATAGCTTTATTTTTTGTTACTTCTTATTATGTATGGAAAATCTATTACATGTTTTAACAGTGAATTTAATAGTTAGGTTACAATAGTTCATTGTTGAAGTTTGTAGGTGAAAAATCGCATATCTATTTTTATCGAAGCCCTGATGAAGATAACTGTCCTTGCAGCTAGAAGAAGGTGAGATCGACGTGAGATTGAACTCCTTCAAGGGTTGCTTCATGCAGCGCAACGGACGACCACGAAAGTAACAAAAACCAAGCCGAAACGACGGCACAATCACGAAGCAGAGCAATCGCAACGCCATCGAATCGCGGGCATTCGAAGCGACAGACGCACCGCACAATCGCGTCCAACCAGTTCCAATTGAAATTTTTAGAGGTCAACAGCCAAGCTGGGGGGATTGGGGGATTAGAGCGAGGAGGGCGATCAAGCTATTTAGCGAAACAACCAAAAAAAGAATGCTATATTTCATGATATCACGCAGAAGCGCACGCGTTACACTCGGACGAATTAAATTCGTCGCGGATAATCTTTTTCTACTTTTTGTACGCACGTATTACCATGTTAAGCCGATGTTACGAACGATGTTGCACGGATGAAATAAACTGTTAAAGCAAAAACCTTCCTGTTTCTATTCTTCAAACTGCGACAGCTGAAAAGACAAAGTTTCGTGAACAAAATTTAATCATGGATGAGCGAAGGATCCATGCAGCTTAAATTTTATTTTTAATTTAACTTAAGTCACGATTCAAAGATTAATGTTTAATCACCCACCGCGTAACGCAGACAATTGAACGCTTCCGTCCGCGAGTTCTTCGAGCTGTCCACGTATTTTTTAATCTGATCTAAAGTTTCGTGGAACGGAGTTTTACGGAGTAATCTCGGATTCCAGAGACCTTCGTCGACGCAATACCTCTTTCGACAGCGAAGCCAGGTCGAAACGAAGTCCAAAAAGTGGCACGACACGTGGCCTACCTTCAGGGTGTACACTATGATACCGTAGTTGCTCATTAGGCTGCACACGTGGTACATCAACGACTCCGCGTGGTTGTGACAGAACTTCAAAGTACTCGTAAGACATTGATACACTAAATCTCTCTGTGTTGGATCTCCCTGTAGGTAAATAAGATTACGTGAACAGGTATTGCATGAACAATTTCTTATTATTTTTCAATTAAAATACTGACGTTGCCGTGTACGATGACAAGAGTTTCATAGAGATTGAGAATCCCTCTCACTCCATTGCTATTGCTCGGGTTTCGGTTCAGACTGACAGCAGATCCATCAATATTTTGAGTTAAAATTTCCAACGCGAGTTGCATTGCATTGATCGACGAGTGGACGGATTTCCTCGTATTTAACAGCAAATCGGCTAAGCTTTGCACGTCAATCGTCAACGGCTTATCACGCTGGAAAAAAATATGGAATGGAACGAATTCGATCGTCGACGAGATTTATTATTTACGAACAGCAAACGGTCCGCGCACCTGGATCGACGATTTCCCTTGACAGTGAATAATAAACGCGAGGAGCTTCAAACAAACCGTCGACAATTCCGGAGTGTCCGTGGAAAAACATTGCACGATCAGTTCCTCCAAGAAGTGCGCGGTCGTGAGGTATCTCTCGAGAACTGCAATTTCGAAAATGGAGAACTGTTTTCTGTCTTTTCGTATTTATTGAACGAGCTGAAATATGTACTCGTGAACGGCTTGATCGCGGAGGACGTGACCAGCAAGACGTACGACTGCATTACCGCCAATGTCCTCAGCTTCGGATCCGCTTCTCGTCGCAGCACGATTCTTACCAGACTGTCCGCGCACCGATTCTTCACGCTCGAGGACAAGGTACCAGGAACGGAGATGTTTGTCAATTCTAGCACCGCCTTGACCTGCTCGTCTGTAACCTTCTTTCTGTTACTTTTGTTTGCTACACGGTTACTCGCATTAATATTACACTATTTCTGCATTTGTTGGACTATGGAGCAGTTAACTTAGATGCATTGCATAGAGAGATGAACCATCAGTAGAGTAAAAATACGCCAACAAATCTTTGCTTCCTATGGTGCTTGGTTGAACAAATTGTTTGTTATGTTACAATTTATATACAATAAGAAATGCAGCAATGATCTAGTATTAATGTGAGTAACTGTATGTCACAGTTCGACGAGGTAACTGATCAATTCACGATGTATTTTACAGTCAGCCCTAATCTAAATACGTTTGAATGGTAGTACCCTTTTCCGGTTGATAAGAAAGCAAGAGATTAGGCAGCATGTGCCAAGCAATTTCTGCGACCTCTTTAGCCTTGTTCAGATGAATCATCTCTCGAATCCCTTTCATGGCCAGCTTGATAATCTTCTCGGAATAACCATCCTGTATCACGAGCTTACAAACAGTGCTAATCAGTATCTATATCAATCCGTTACGAATTTTTAAAATAAAAAAGACCTTGATTACCATCAAGTAATGTCGTACAACCGTATCACAATCGAGAGTCAACAGCGGCTTGATGTCCCCCTCCGACTCCACCAACCACAAGTCCATAGCTCTGTTTCGCAAATCTTTCGGAAACTCCGCGCATTTCAAGCAATAATGTAACAGATCTATGTGGTGTGTGTAGCAATCGTCGAGTCTAGAATATTGCAACGCGGCTGCCAATCGCTTCACGGCTTTCCCGTAATCCTGTTCCGAGCTCGATGATGAATGCGACACGGATGCCACGGCAAACAGAAACCATAAAACTTTCAGAATTTGCGAGGACACCTCGCATTTTGACAAATTGATGATTCTCGTGATCAGGGACTTCAAACATATCATGTCGATCCTGAAATACTCGTGTTACAATCTCTTTCGAGTTACAGTAGATATAACATCGTACTCTCTGGTCCCGTGAAAGTGATAGTAGATTAACATCATCAGTGCAACAGCGCTTCCATCTTGATGGCGTGCGATTACGTTTTTCCATTGTTCAGGATCTCTTGGCAGGTCTAACAGTCCTCGATGCATCATGGTTTCGTAACCAGTTGCACCTTCGGGCCATTGGCTGATCGACAGGGATTTGCTAGCCAGAGTGGTTATTATTCGGGATAGCAGCACGCAGGTACTGCGACGAAGATTTTCTCTGTAATAGTGATGGGGAGAGTTAGCTTAGGTTTTATTTGTGGGGGACTCTTGTTATATTGCTGAGAGTGTATGAATTTTGCAGAGGATTTCTGTCGGTGTGGAATGTGGAGATCTACACGTTGAGTGTTGATGCGTCGCATAGGGGATATGTAGGATTTCGACGCGTTGTATGTTGATATGTGGTGTCTCAACGCGTTGTACTTCAGCGCATTACACATCGACGTTGAACTTCGGTGCGTTATATGTCGACGCGTTGAGTATCGGTGCGTTGTGACTCGGCACGTTATATATCGACGCGTTGTTTTTCAGCACATTACATATCAACGCATTGAGTTTCGGTGCGTTACATATCAACGCGTTGTGTATTGACGCGTTACAAGTTGACGCGTTGAATTTCAGCGCATTGTATTTCGGCGCGTTACATGTCGACGCGTTGAGTTTCGGTGCATTACATATCAACGCGTTGTGTATTGTCGCGTTACAAGTCGACGCGTTGAATTTCAGCGCATTGTACTTCGACGCGTTACATAGGTTGCATGTTGTACCATGACGCGTTGTATTTCAGCGCGTTGCATGTCGACGCGTCGAGTTTCGATGCATTACATATCAACGCGTTGTGTATTGACGCGTTGAATTCCAGCGCATTGTACTTCGGCGCGTTACATGTCGACGCGTTGAGTTTCGGTGCGTTACATATCAATGCGTTGTGTATTGACGCATTACATGTCGACGCGTTGAATTTCAGCGCATTGTACTTCGGCGCGTTACATAGGTTTGCATGTTGTACCACGACGCGTTGTATTTTGGTGCGTTGCATGTATTACGCGTTCTATTTCAACACATTGTGTTCGTCGACGCGTTGTATTTCAGTGTGATGCATATTGACACGTTGTACATCAACACGTTGCATATTGACACATTGTACATCAACACATTGTGCGTTGACGCGTTCTATTTCAATACATTGTGTTCGTCGACGCGTTGTATTTCAGTGTGAAGCATATTGACACGTTGTACATCAACACGTTGCATATTGCCACGTTGTACATGAACATGTTGCACGTGAACGCATTGCATGCATGTGAATGCATCTCGATGCATTGTGTACGTCAACCTGTTGTATTCCAACGCATTTCAGTGCACTACACTCGGTGCATTGTACCTCAGCATATTATACACCTGGAGGCGTTGCATATCGAGCAGAATTTCAACTCTTAGCAATTCCAAGAATGCAGCGCTCCTACAACCACACCTCCAGCAATATAACAAGAGTATTATAGTTTCATTTGCATTTATAAAGTCGTCGAACTTAGAATTCAACTGGAATTATAGCAATAACTTTTTATGTCCAAACTGAACCTGATAGTATCGTACTTGAAAGGATTCGTTAATGTACATCATAAAAGTAAGTAGCAATTTCACTATTGCGAGAGATAGTCTGATTAAACGTAACCAATGGCCAATTGGTCGACCAACTCCATTTCGCTTTGCGAACTCAATTTCAAGTTCAGTATACGACTTACGGAAGCCTGGTGGTTAAAAGCAAGAAGTACTTCAGATATCCGTTGGCGGTCAAGTGGTTTGACAAGTTGTCGTGGCTGCAGCTACTCAGCTTATAAAGATTGTTCAAACAAGTCACGAGATTCCTGTGGAATTTGACCCTGTCCATCCCGTTTGACTCTGCATCCTGACAGATGGCAATAAAACGTAACTTTGACGGTGGTAATTAAACGGCGTCAGTGCGACGTTATAATAACGATCTTAGGAGCCGATAACTTACTTTAACGTAAGGTACGATCGTGCTCATCGTCGTTGCGTAGATCGTCTTTGCCAAAGCGTCTTTGCATCGAGAAACTTTGCTGAAGGGTCTTCCGTCGTTTTGCTCGGTACACAATCTGAGAAGAGAATCTTACGAGTTGCGCATTCGAGTTCTCATTAAAGTAAATCGTACCAATTTCAAGATTTTATATATGCAGTTTAATCGCAATTATAATTTAAGGTCGTTAAATTAATCGCGGTAATAATTCTCGCGTGCTCAGAGAGCACACAGGCTGTAATTAACATGTTACAATCTATGTTTGAAAATTCCATTTGAATTATAGGTAATTACAGCTGCGCTACAAAAACGAAGTTATATCGAGACGCATATTAACAAATTGTTAAATTCCTGTATCTTTGTAACAAGGTACAGCAATTAATTACGGAAAATTGAAGAATAATTAACCTTTATTGGCTGGTATGTTATTCAAAGGCAGCAATCTGTTCTTATTAAGTGGCAATCTTGAACAGGTACTATATTTTAATATGTCTCACCGACTACCAGAAGCGCAAGCTGCGCAAAGCGCCAAAGCAGCTAACTCAACCGAAGCTTCATCGTCGCTGTATTTAACGATCTCTTTCATAAGATCGATAGTTTTATTACAAAGTTGAAACACGCTCTCATCGCAGTCATTTTCAAAATCAATGTTCTCCAAAACGAGATTCAGTAATGCTACGGCGGAGAATTTTATTTTTGGATCCGTCGAATCATCCAGGAGCAAGGATTTCAGAAGGGATATTATTTGTTGCGAGTTGCAAACTTCTTCAAACTCGGCGTTAAACTCTATCGCTCTAAAAAGTCGAGACGTCCATGAGAGTGAATTAACAAGTTGTTGATAATAAACGATTCATAACCTCTGCAGTATATCGTAAATCGTTGAAATGAGCTTGTGTATCAGCTGCGTCTCTTTACTGCGGGACTTTAAGATGCAGACTGTAACCTTCAAGATTGAATCCGTGGCTTCTTTCGCTATGTGGTACTCGTAGAACTTCCGGTATACGATTATCAGGTTTATGAAATCGAGGACGCATCTATTAATGAAAGACTGTGTTAGAGTTGCTCTTTGGTACTTTAAATGAAACGTACGGGAGAAGACGTTCACTAGGAGTTTGCAAGAGTTCGAATACAGTTGAAAGTATATCGAATTTAATCAGCTTTGAGAGAACCGCCTCTTTGCTTGCTGCGCCGCCATTTTTGAACAAGTTGGACAGTCGTTCTATGCATGTGATCTAAAAATAATTCCTCTTTGATTCTTGTAATTTATAGTATGGCATAAGAATACATTTACGAATAAAGATATAAGAATTTCGTGAAGGGTTGAACGATTAATATACGTACCTGAGAATACTCGTGCTGCTGCATCAATTTCTGCTTCGTACTTATCAATAAAAGGTCTATATCTAATTGGAATAAAGGCTCCATATTCAGAAATAATTAAAAATTACGATTTGCACTTGAAAATTGCCAAACACCGTATGAAATAATATAGAAACTATATTTGAAAATAAAGAACTTGGGTGTTCTGGAGTTCGTACGCATCCACGGTAAATATGGCGGTCAGTGCGCATGCGCAGACATATAATAGTCTAACGCTAACGCGGTAAATACAAATTGTTAACTTTAGTTATCCTATAATTGAGTTATTAATCTTTTATAATTAATCGGTAAAGTTTTTGTAGTGGATAATGTATTACAACGTTGTGAATTCGTAATATTCACGTCAATGGTTACTATATTTTATTTCAAACGTTATTATAAATTATAATACAAATACAATAAGTATAATCGTAATATATTATAAATGTTAAACAATCCTGAGTAATTACTCTACATAAGAGATAATGAATCGTACTGTTATCGATAATTTCCTCTTTTTTTTTCGCTCTCACGATGCCGAACGATATCCCCATTGGAACGAATCGCGACAATATATATAATATATATAATATAGAATACAATAATAACATATAATATAAACAATCCATTTGACATGGAAGAGGGGGTTAATTCTAGGCTATTTATAATTTGCTCCTTAAATCGAAAACGTCATAAACTATACAATATTAACATGAAAAGAAAATGATATCGCGATCCGACAAAAACATTTACACAATGAGACAATGCGGTAATACACAGTGCAAAGTGACAACGCCGTATATTCAATTATGTGCAGAATCTATACATAACGAGAGCGAAACAAAGCGTACGAATATTTTTCGACCTCGAACGACGTAAAAAAGAAGAAGGGTAAACGTTTCATCCGTCTTCAAATAAATGCTCGTGCAAGATCGAAATAACCGTGAAAAGATCGTGTCAACGAATGAAAAGAAACAATCGATTGGAAACCTTTTTACAAACGAACGAAAGTCCCATCGAAAAACAGCCTATCGTCGATAGGCGTCCAACGTTTTAATCGCGCAGCGATATCCGCGAGCCTCGCGCGGGACCTGAGCCTCGTTTAGGCTATTGAATCATGTTTACCTGATAAACACGCTCAATATCGTTACGTCACGACGAGAGCACGGTCCCAAGCGACCGTCAAACATTTTCCTTGGAATTTCAATATTTTTTGCTGCTCCACTCTATCGATGCTTTATCGCTATGGCAGTGAAAAAAGATCCGTCGAAATGATTGTTCGATTGTTATTAATGATATACCAGTTCCAAGGATGACCATGCAACGAAACAACGATAAAATCGTTCGCGTTTTCAACGCGGATACAGGTGCAACGAGCAACCAGTCTAGCACCATTCGAAAAGAATCGCATTCATTTTTAAGCTTGTGTTCCCCGACGATGTGCGCGACCCTGAACCTCCTTACATAAAATCGAAAGGTAACAGCAAATTAGAGTTCAAAACGCTTCTTCCTCTCGGCGACCATGCCCACCGCTGGCAGTGGGGGGTGGAGCGGGTGATGGTAATTCGGCGTAGGTGTGGGAGGCAGACTGCGACAACTTCTGCTGGACCACCTCACTGCTGGAGACCTCATCAGCTCTGTAAACAGAATCTACCTTTACTCCTCTTTCTTTCAAACTTCCGCTGTATCGCCTCGAACTCTTTGCTCAACGCATCTGCATCAGAATTTGGATATCGAAATCCGTTTGATCTCGTAAGGATGCAGATGAGTTGTTCAAGCACGGAAACCCAAAGTGAAAAGCGAGAATATCAGGCCGAAGTTCAGAAAAGATCGAGACAACTCGATCGACTGCAAGCTACCAAAGCTAGTTTACTGAAACAACCAAAAGCACCAGTCAGAAGTGAACGTAAATATGCAAACCATGGTGAAACGATTCGTGGATGCGAGTTTTGGCAACGATTCGGCAAACTATTCGTCTTAACTGGCAAAGAAAAGAACGGACCTGCAACGGAGAGAGCTGGGGGTTCCGGGGTGAGGCGGGACGTGTGAGGATTGTCGGCACGGAGGAATGTCTCCGAGTGTTGTTGCTGCTTTTCATTTTTGTGGTTGTCCTGCCACCGGCTGCCAGCGCTGTCGACTCGCATCTCTGCTGTGCCACCTTTCGTGTCAAATAATTGGCGAAATACGATTATCTTGCTTCGTTTCCATTTCTTTTCATAAGCGATCGTTCCGGAACAATTTAATTTATCGATTCTCTCGGTAAGATGACCATGGATATTAAGTTCTACTAGACCAGTGATGGACATATTGTGTCACGATGAGATTTTGCAAATTGTCATAATTTATATAAATGAATACTTGCTAAAAATTTGAAAATTATTGAATCGAAGTTGTTTGTTCATCACTGAACTAGACAATATCTATTTTGAAAATAATTTCTCGACAGTCGATGCTTCAGTCTTTGAATTCTTATAAAGATGGATTTCTGAACGTTAACTATTGCGATCTAGCTCGAAGGAACATTTTGTTTCTAAATGAAAAAATATTCCAAAAGTCATCTTAGCTTAAGTTGCGTCCATTTTGTTATCATTACACTGCCACCGACATAACTTAATTTCCTAACTGACATAATGATCATAATAAAAGACTAATACCTTACACACCTAATATGTTCCCAACAGTTAAGCGACGTTATTCTTACAATTATACTCGCGTTACAGTATGTTGTTGCTGTTTGGAAATGCGCAGAAATCAGCATCAGAGTTCGATGTTCGACTAACAGTGTACATATTGCAAAAATAGTTTCTCCGTAAAAAAGTGCAAAAGGTTCGGTACAAAAGGTTTCTGATCTAACAAATGTCTGTAGGTTGCGTTAGAAAGGGTTGGATTTCTGCGCAGCTCCCATGTTAATAAAAATGTTGAAGATTATGCGTACAGATTAGACATTCAACGAGTACAAAATCACACTCACAGAAAGGCAAGGTTACTTTGCGTTGTTGCACATACACCATGAAAAATACGTTTCCCATGTTAGCTTATAGCCAAGTTTAACTATCCGAGTATCGCGATTATGCGTGTTACTAACGATATGATTAATTAGGTTTTTAAGCTCTCGATTCGACACCTTACATTAAGCTTTCTTTTTCTAAACGGTATACAAAAAGGGTCACCAGCGACCCCAGTTCGTCGAAGGGAACCGAATCGAAACACTCGCGCGAACGTTTTGAACGTAATCGACGCGTGTACACATGTAATTAACAAAATGATTGCACAACAAATACGTTCCATGCCGATTGCAATGAAAAACACGAGATCGTTTGACGCTAACAATCGAAGCAGTTAATTTCTAGTACAAAGCACCCGTTAGTTAGTCTTACATTTTCCTTTTCTCTCTCCTTAAATAACAACGAACTGACGAGCACTACTTTTCGTTGTTAGAATAAACAGCACAGTGGATCCTCGCGAAATGCATGCTCTACAGTTGGCTGGATCTCGAACGATAGTTCATTCAAGACATCGTCTATCAAGTATTGGGTTGATCGCAGAATTCGAGTTCTGTTATCGGAACTGTAAAGCTGCTACGGATACAAAAATGGCGGCAACGAGCGTCGTGAACTCCGTAGAAAAAATGGCGGTACAGATGATGACCTTCCTTACATTTCATACTTTTGCTATTTTTTCTAGGGAACTCTAACGCACTCGCTAGTAAATTGACAAAATAGAAATCTTGATGAAAAATAATTTGCAATTACAAAATTATTTCAAACGCCGCATAGCACCAACTTATATTTTACTAGAACGTCAGCGTAAGTATTCGTCGAATTGTTGAAACAACCCAATACAATCGACAGAGAAGCAACGTACGACAGAATCAACGCTATCCTGTCCGAGCTCGAGAATGAATGCAAGTTTCAGAGAAGCAGAGACGAGTGTTCGAGGAGGATTGAAAGAGCAACGATCCACCGGCAGTGGAGGTGTCTCGACCGCCGCTTCCGTTTTCACCTTTCTTCTGTACCTTGATACTGATGGGGCAGTCCGCTCCTTGGTCTCAAGCTGTCCCACAGAGGCGAGGCCAGACCGTTACGCTCTTGGCCCTTTTGCCCTAAGCTCGCCGTCTCTTTCCTATCGTGCGACTGAACGCCGCCAGAATTACCGCCCGGCCTAACCAAGTTACTCGAGTAAGGCAACGACACCGACTTAATGCGTTCGAGCTTGTAGGAGAACGCGGCCGGCTTGTCCGGCGTGCTCTTTTGCAACGTGGACAGCGAGCTTTTCGGCCGTTCGCCCGTCAATCTCTGCTCCTCGCTACTCGCTCGTGCCAGCGGCTCGTGACTACTCCGGACACGGTGCGGCGAATAAGGCGGCGAGTAGCCTGTCGATTTCGATGGCACACCGGACGTATCACGAGGGCCGTCCCCATGCTGTTAGTGAAATATCGAAAATAATATATGCGTCAGAGTGCGGCTGAATGTGGGTTAACACGATCGTTAGGATCGATGCTGCTCGGGCCAATCCGGTACGGTCGCGTGCACTTCGGGCTAACCTTTGTTTAAGAGGAGGCGTCGAGAAATCTGTGCACCCTGGTGATTAAAATTCTCCCAAAGGCAAGAGTCCTCCCTCCACGCTTCCTCTTAGCCAAAAGAAGTCCACGGTGCACCCGAGTACAATTACACGTTATGGGTTGAGGTCGCTCTCAGGTACAGTAAAACCTCCGTGGAGAACCATCGATGATCTCGGCTGATTTCGCGTTGCCACTGTTAATTATTAATTAACCCTCGATTCATGGAGTGCGGTGATTGGTTACGAACCGGCAGAGGAGGATCAATGTGACACCATGCATTTTACGAACGTCACTGGACGAGATGTCGGTCGAGTCTGAAAAATAAAGTGAGTCATGTTGCTCCTCCCCTACCAGCCGAGGGTTAAAATGTCCGTGAACGGAATAAAGCTTTGCTGTACCCAAGTCTAACTCTAGCTGGCATCATTGCTGCCGTTTATGTACAACGTTTTGCGAAAACTGCAGAAAGCTAGCACGGGGTGACGCCATAATATGTAATTGCAGCGGAGTTAATCATTTAGTAGTGTACACTTGTTAACCACATCTACTTGTTGTAAATGGGACTAGTTGGCGATGGACAGCTGTAGGGTTACCTTCAATTGCTGCAATTTGTAGAGATCCTCTCTTGGTTCGGCTATGTCGTTTTCTTTGCCCCTCAACATTTGCACGGTGTCGTTGATAGCACCATCGTTCGTGTCCAATACCAAATGAGCTCTCAGCTGTTTATTTCGTGCGTCCAGTTGCATGATGTGCTGTTGCGCTTGAGCTAGCTGTTTCGTGAGAGAACCCACTTTTTCCTCCAGAGCCGCGGACTCCACGCATTTGGAGGAATACTTGGCAGATAACGAGAGAATCTCCTGTTTGATCTCCTCCATCTCCTCCCTGAAAATTATTTTATTCAATACTTTCCCGTACCCAATCGAACGTGGTAAATTAATGGACAAGTACTTACTCGTGTTCCTTGTGAAGCACGCCAATGTCTTCGCGTGCTTGCATCTGTTTGATGAACTCTTGCTTGAACTTGGCTATCTCCTCCTGTCGATTTCGATGGCACACCGGACGTATCACGAGGGCCGTCCCCATGCTGTTAGTGAAATATCGAAAATAATATATGCGTCAGAGTGCGGCTGAATGTGGGTTAACACGATCGTTAGGATCGATGCTGCTCGGGCCAATCCGGTACGGTCGCGTGCACTTCGGGCTAACCTTTGTTTAAGAGGAGGCGTCGAGAAATCTGTGCACCCTGGTGATTAAAATTCTCCCAAAGGCAAGAGTCCTCCCTCCACGCTTCCTCTTAGCCAAAAGAAGTCCACGGTGCACCCGAGTACAATTACACGTTATGGGTTGAGGTCGCTCTCAGGTACAGTAAAACCTCCGTGGAGAACCATCGATGATCTCGGCTGATTTCGCGTTGCCACTGTTAATTATTAATTAACCCTCGATTCATGGAGTGCGGTGATTGGTTACGAACCGGCAGAGGAGGATCAATGTGACACCATGCATTTTACGAACGTCACTGGACGAGATGTCGGTCGAGTCTGAAAAATAAAGTGAGTCATGTTGCTCCTCCCCTACCAGCCGAGGGTTAAAATGTCCGTGAACGGAATAAAGCTTTGCTGTACCCAAGTCTAACTCTAGCTGGCATCATTGCTGCCGTTTATGTACAACGTTTTGCGAAAACTGCAGAAAGCTAGCACGGGGTGACGCCATAATATGTAATTGCAGCGGAGTTAATCATTTAGTAGTGTACACTTGTTAACCACATCTACTTGTTGTAAATGGGACTAGTTGGCGATGGACAGCTGTAGGGTTACCTTCAATTGCTGCAATTTGTAGAGATCCTCTCTTGGTTCGGCTATGTCGTTTTCTTTGCCCCTCAACATTTGCACGGTGTCGTTGATAGCACCATCGTTCGTGTCCAATACCAAATGAGCTCTCAGCTGTTTATTTCGTGCGTCCAGTTGCATGATGTGCTGTTGCGCTTGAGCTAGCTGTTTCGTGAGAGAACCCACTTTTTCCTCCAGAGCCGCGGACTCCACGCATTTGGAGGAATACTTGGCAGATAACGAGAGAATCTCCTGTTTGATCTCCTCCATCTCCTCCCTGAAAATTATTTTATTCAATACTTTCCCGTACCCAATCGAACGTGGTAAATTAATGGACAAGTACTTACTCGTGTTCCTTGTGAAGCACGCCAATGTCTTCGCGTGCTTGCATCTGTTTGATGAACTCTTGCTTGAACTTGGCTATCTCCTTCTGCACCTCGTGTTCGTGTGCTTTTCTCATGGCATCCAACGCTGCCAGAGTAGCTTGGGTCTCCTCTGACAACGCCTGCTCTTTCTCCACCCTCAGATTCTCCAGTTCCTGCCGATGTTTCTCCTCCATTTCGGAGATGATGCGTCTGTGAGAGTTTTCCATCGCCAGCAATCCTTTCTCGCACAGTGCTCGCAGCTGTTTGATCTCCTCCTTGTACCTCTTCCTCGTTTCCGCGTCGGTGTCCAACTCCGCGCTCATGGATCTTTGATAAGCGGCTCTCAGTTCGTTCACGTGAGCAGAGTGCTCGGAATCCATGGCGTTCAATCTGTATTCCAACTTCCTCGCCTTTTCTCGCAGACTAGCAGCCTCCTGCTCGTACTGAGAGGTCAAAGATTGCCTCTGGTTATCCAATTCTCCCTTAATGTCCATCAGATCCCGTTCCTGGTTGCGCTTCAGAGTTTCCAATTCTTCGTTGTGCTCCGCGGTTATCCTCTGAATGGTCTCCTGCAACTGTTCGCATTGTTTGCAAGTTATACGATTCATGTACTCGCTCAGCTTCTTGATTTGCTCGCGCAGCTGCGAACACTTCTCGCAAACGTTCGACCAGTCCGAGACGGCTGGCGATTTGGGCCAGACGATGCCGTCAGCGTTCTCGCACGACTTCTCTCTGACGCGTTTGCTCAGCTCCATCAGATCCTCCTCTAAGCTGAGCAAACTCTGACCAACGTTCTTCAGCTGCTCTTTCGAGCCACGCTTCCCGGATATCCTCTCCTCGCACTCCTTGCTAAATTGTTGATAAAGGTAACTGTACTCGGCGTCGAGAATCGGATTGCTTTGGAAATCGTGATCGTCCGCGAATAGACAGGAAAGAAGGTCGTCGTTTCGGATTAGACTAGATACGAAAGTCTCTCCAGGATAGCTTGTTAACTGTTTCGTGTTCTCCTGAAGAAGGCCGATTCTGGCATCGATTAAAGCTTTGTGTGCGATCACGTCTGCGTAGTCCGTCAACAACTGCCGAGACTCGTACTTCGTTTCCACCGTTGACTTGTTCCTCTTCAACAAACGAAGACACTCCTCGTACGCGTCCGACAGCTCGCGCGTGGATAGTTCGATTTCTTGTCGCAGTCTCGCTTGCGTCGCGTCTATCCAAGATTCCAACGTGATGTTTTCCGCACCGTCGAAATTGAGGCAGACGTCGGTGATGCTGGTGACGTTCTGTTCGTACATCTGACCGCAACGCATGATCACGTGAGACACTTCCGCTTGCACCAACTCTTTGCTGACCGTCTCCTGAGCCAATGCCCACGCCTCGCGAATTCGCCGATCTTCCAACAACTTCTTGCTAGAATTGCTCGCCTGTTGTTTGCCAAGGTCCTCCTTGTCCGACATGCTCAACGTTTCAACGGCCAAAGCCTCGGCTAGCTGCCTCAGTTTCGTCTCCTTGTATCGCCGCACGGTCTCGTTGACTTCGCGTTGCTTCTGCAGCAAGAAGTTCAAACTCTCGCTGCGAGCAGCGGAAACCTCCTTGGACGTTTCTGTCGCGTTCACGCCGCCTACTAGTACTAACTTATTTGCTAACACTTTAGTAAGATACTGAATGTAACTGGTGTTTTGGTACGTTTTGGGCTTAGTTCCATGAATCTTACGCATTAAGCTTGAGGCAAGCTGACTAGTTTCGACCAATTCACTGAGAACGGCACTTCTATCGTACGTGCGACCGATCGCTCGCTTGATCTGCCTCAGAACGATAAACTCGAACGCCACCCTCTCGGCGATCAGCTTCATCTTCTCTCTGTCGTCCAGTTCACCGTTCTGCGCCAGCGTCTGCCGTCTCTTCGTGAGCTCGGTGAATTTATCTTTAAGTATAGTCTCTAGTCTAGATACCACTACGCCTACTGACTCGGTCGCTTGAGCGCTAGCTTGATTTTTCTTACATTCTAAACACGAGTCCAGGATATCGTTCACCTCGCGCAAACACTTTTCCGCTTTGTCCTCCGCCTGCGTCGAACCTAAACACTTCTCCAGCCTCCTCTTCGACTTCGATACCACCCTCTCCAATTTTCTTAGCCTCGCAATGATCTCCAGCGACACTTCGCTAGTGGATGATCCGCTCACTTCGCTGCACTCGCTAGAATCCTTCTCCGCGTCGCTGGCCATATTCTCCGTCACGTTTGCCACCTTGGTCTCCAGCGTACTCAATCTTATCAACACCTTCATTGGTTCAGAGCTGGTCGCGCTATCTAACGACTTCCTTCTCAACCTGGTACGATCCAGGTTCTTGCTATCTCTCCTCTTCTCTTTCTTTGGATTAGGACTCGACTCCTTCGAGCTGCTACCGGTTGACACGGGCGTACCGATGCTCTTACCGCGTTCGATCGCGCAGATTTTGTTCTCCAGGTCCAGCAACTTGTCTTCCATCTCCTGGGAGATTTGAAACGACTCGCGACCCTTTAACGACAGCGATCTCCTCTTGTCCCTGCTCTCGGCTTTGGTCAGCTTCTGCTTCAGCGTTCTTACTTGCTTCTCGCTGGCAGCTAGCTTGTTCGTCAGGTCTTGGATCCTCGCCGCCATTAACTGAATTTGAGCTTGGTTCGTTTCGCTAACGCTGGCCGCGTCCTGCTTGTGCGCAAAAATCTCCAGTTCCAACGCGTCCTGCATCGCGTGCGCTTCCCGAAGCTCTTTGCGCATCGCCCGGATCTCTTGGATGGCTTTCTCGAAACGACTTCGGAGCTCGTCGTACTCCTCCATTATTCTGAAAATGGGATACGAAGGAATGTTAAGAACAGTTTCTAAAAATATTTCCATCCTATAGTTACCTTTCTTTATCCAGCGCATTTAAATCCAGATCCAGCTCGATGTTCGTCAAGTCGCTGAGCGAATCGAAGCTCCTTCCACGCTCCCTCGAAGCCGATAGCCCTCCCTTCTCTTCCAACTCTCTAACCTTGGAGTACAAACGGTCGTTCTCCTCGATTCCTACATCGAAATAATCAAGTCATTCAATAAACGTCTCATCTCGTTTCACTCAAATAACGTACCTTGCGACAATCTGTTGCTCAAGGAAGCAATTTCTGCCTGCAGATGTTCGACGGTCCTATGACTCGACGCCAGTTCTTTCGAGAGCATTTCACACCGCTCGCTGGTCTCCCTGAGGATGGCTTCCGTCTCCAATAACTTACACTCCAACATTTCCTTATCCCTATTGTATATCTTCTTCATCTTCTCCAGGTCATCCATGTCCTTGCTCCTCTGCTGTTCCGTCCTCTGGATCGTACCTAACAACTCTTCCACCTGTTTCTCCCTGATGGAGGCCTCAGCCTTCTGCTGTCTCAACCTGGACAGCTCCTTCTCAGCGCTAGCGACGTCGGCTCGCGCGGTGTTCAGCTGAGACTTCAGACTCTCGATCTCGTTCTCCTGACGCTCGATAATGACTAGTAGCGTGCTTGGGTGAGCTTCATTGTGATCCAGCTGATCTCGCAGCAAAGACACCTGGTTCTCCAACAACTCGACGATCAATGGACTTTCGTTGGCGCTCGACAAACAACTGTTGCTCTGCAGATGACCATTGGGCTGCTCCTCGTCCTCTCCGAGCTCGCAGCAGGCCATCATCAGATCCTCCGATCTCACACTGTCCAGGGTACTTCTTCTGGAACTCGGAGGAGAACTGCGGCTTCTCTTGTACACCCTGGACCTCGAGCTCGATCTGGATCGAGCTTTCACTCGCGATAACGCGGTTCTCGTCAGCGGAGGCGACGGAGGAAGCTCCGACCATTCGTGGTTCGCGGAATCTGACCAGCTCGAACTTTTCAACCCACTCGGCCAATCTCCGTTTCTCACTAATGGCGGCGAGACGGGCACTTCCGACCAGTCGCCGGATTCTCTTCTGCCACCTTCCGATGCTGTTCTGTACTCCTCGTCGGAGGAGAACAGGACCGAACGAGGCGTAACCGAGGTGGAAGGAACGACAGAGTCCCTTTCGCGATCTGTGATGGATCTGAGAATGAAAAGAAATCATAACTTAGAACGTATTTAGTATTGGTACATTTCGTTGAATAAAAGAAGTAGATTTGAAGAAGTAGGTCTTGCAAGAATGCAATCTCGAAGATATCTTTTTGTAAGGCGCAATCTTACCGTGACATTATTTCACATCCGCAAAGATGTTCGCGATATGCGCAATACACAGTGCAATATCATGTACTATATGAATCTCATGATCTAACTGGAAGACAAGATCGTAATTTAAATGGCATCTTACGCGGTAGGTGACTGCGGAGTGTTATCCTGCTGACTGTCCTGGCAAACCGTTAGATCAGCGTTGCTATCCGGATCGGGCAAATTGGCAGCCCTTCGAATAGCAGTCATCCAGCTATCTCGTATCCCGGCCGTCACCGCGGACAGCACGGTGGACCCTCGATCGTCCCACGCCTAAAACGAAGAAACCGAATGAGGTATCGGCGCGAAAGGAGAGAAGAAGGACATCGTTGTCTATGTAGGGCAAGCAGCGGGATACTCTCGAGTGACAGAAGTCTGCGTCATGAATAAAGAGTAGTGCGATCTGTTCTAGCGTGAAATTGAGTTAGCGAGTTTTTCTGACCACTCCCAGCACGGAAGTTAATTCCGGCTACGCAATCGAGCAACAAGCCCGCCGGGAGATTCACGGCTACACGTCTTGGACACGATCCGAGCAGACGTATCTCGGTCCGGCCGGCTGGACAATGTAAATCGTCCGGTTCGAGTTGTATTTATTTTCGACGCGGGTAGGCAGAAAATTGCCGCTCCCGCGAGGTCTAACTGGATTTCCGTCCGTGGGGAATGTTAATTACCGTAAATCACCGCGTGCAAATCCGCCGTTCGGTCACACTCACCACAGTCTGGAATCCATAATTTCTTGCGACCTGAAGGGGCGTAACTGCGGTAACGGTATTCAGATCTATCACGCCGTCCATGATACCCTTATCTTCCGCGCAAGGATCCCGGTAGTACATGAGGCCGCAACCGCGCAGTACGAACCAGTGCTTGTTCCATTCCTGAAGAACGACCGATACATTGACTTTCATTAGCGCTATATTGCCTGGCGGAACAGGTTCGACGGAAAGACACGATGAAATTTTCATACGAACCTTGTTCAGAGCCTGCTTCATCAACCAGCCTTTCTTGATGTTCAACAAATCCTCGGCGGGCAGGTCTACCCTCAGCTCCGAAGTAGGCGAGTACCTGATTCCTGAAATGTCTAGACCGCAGCCGTCGGGATCTCCTCTGATCTGTAACAACCGGTATGATCATCGATACGGTCTTATCAATCGGAAGATAAACTCGACACTTACGAACTTGTCCTGGTAAGCCGCGTTAGCTGCATCGACCACGTCTCTGGTTGGCTCGGACGTTCTAGGCTTGATCCTTCGAGCACGTGGCTGGGTCAAAGAGGCAGCGATGTCTCGCAGTTTTCCTTCCCTTTCCCTCTCGTGCTCCAGGAGGATTCTTCGACAGGGGTCGTCGTCTGCACACGTAATGCTCGTTTTTTTATCGGATATAAGGTCTTAAACTGCTGAGTGGACGTTTCCACCCTTATCACGTTTGCCTTCGGTTGAAATACCGAGGGACATCTTTCTGGAGGAAGGAAGGTTACTATATTTTATCCGAATCACAAGGATTCTGCTGAGGAAGCCTTTGATCCAAGCCTTTCTTCAGACTTTTCGAAGTGAAAAAATAAAATCGTAAAATCGATCGAAGCGCAAAGTAAAAAGTGTGAAATTATAGGTGACGTCGTATCGAGTAGATGCAGGATATAAATTTGCCAGTTAGCGTTTGACAGCCGTGATTAGGTACCATTAAACGATAGCTGAACGATATTAAGGCGTTTACCAGGAACACGGAAGCAACGATCGCATGCATTCTAATTACGATAGTTGTAAGGCAACGAGAAGACACGGGCAGCAATATCGCTCGTGTCGTTAATATCGCGCCGTGTCGTTATCAAACATTCGTCTTACAGCGTCGCAGGTTTAAGCAATTAACTTCTTTTCCGTTTGAAAATAATCCCTCGCCTAACACGGCGATGCAAGCGCGCCCAGGCGACCGCTCCGTTAATTGACTGCCAACTAATTAATAACCTGGGCTCTTTCTCGCCGGTACCGCGTCGACAAACAACCGAGGCCACTTATCTCGCTCGTTTATCCACCTTTTTATCGAACCTCCATCGAAATCTAACCGTCATTAGTATGCTAATAACAGTTCCCTACGGATCCGATCATCGATTTGCTTAAGAACGCATCGTTTAATCGCAAAACAAATGGGCTAATGCAAATTAACGTTCACTGATTCGTCACGTGCATGAATTATTGGCGGAGAAATTGGATCGCGATGAATATTTAAATCATATCGATTCGGTAAATTAAGAAGACTATGTTAGTCTTTAACTATGCTAGTAATTAAGACTATGCTAGTTATTATTTTTTTTATTAGAGCTTTGAAAGTTAGCGTCATCTAGTGATGAAACGAAGGACCTTTGGCGCGCTTTTTATGAACATATTGATAACGCATTTAGCCTTGTACAACTTCGTTTTAACTGAGTAATTCACAATAACGTCAGACTTTAAAACTGGAAACGTTATTTAGCAGAAATGGCAGAATCATTATCAGAATGCTTGCTGATTATAGCGTTGCAGAGCTAATAGCAGTTGTTTACATATTTCTTATTCTTTACGTATGAAATACAGTACGTTGTCTGAAGAGTATTATTAACATAAGTGTTAAAGAGAGGAAGAAATCGAGTGCCGCAGAAAAAATACGCAAAATTTAGTTCCGAGGTTCTACCGCTAGATGGTTATAGTGCTTCTGCGTCCATAACATACTGTTTCTTAAACTTTCATTACTAACACTTTATGCAAACTATAATCTCATTATTCAAGTAGAATTATAATCGTACAATGTTCTGCTATTGTTAATAAACCTCTACAACCGCATATTTCTCGAAAAAGGGCTGTTTTGTGTTTCAGTATCTTCGCCATGCACCGCTAGATGACGTTAGGGGCGCCATTTTTAAAACGCGCAAAAATATAACGCTTCAAAACTTAATATTTTTAATACTTTTAATAATTTTTAAATCTTTTTAATAACTCCGTTGAACTTCCCTTTAAAATTACATTTGTCTAAGAATATCCAGAGTTAATAATTTTAGTTTACAAAAGTTTTCGCATCAAAATGACGAAAGTCGAAGAATAAACGCGAACGTTTCAGGACGAGCGGTTTTTCACACGCCTCGTTCGTTTCCGATTGCGTCCACGCGCTAACTGCTTTATTTATGCCGTCAATTGTCGAAGGAAAAATGGGTCAGGTACGATTTAACGCAGAGCGCAAATCATCGCCGAGAAGAATAGTCGTCGTTGCGACGACCTAGTTTCTTCCTCAATTGAATGGTACGTGCCATTGTTAGCGCGCAACCGAATCGTGTAACCAGATCTTATTGCAACGAATTCGCCTGTGAGAACGTTACGAGTGTCATAAAGTTTCTCAGCGACGTATGATCTAGTAATAGCGGAATTATAACTGACGTTATACCGACAGCGAGAAAAATGCCCCCGTATGACGTAACGTTGAGAATTCATTCATTGCGCAGATAATTTTCAAACTTTCCCAAGATGTAACTTTTTTCATAAGCTGATCAGTTTCTATTAGTTAATTATATACTTCTATTATATTTTTTATAAGAGTCTATTAGATCAGGCTCTTATTTTATAAGACACTTAACTTGTCATGTGATTTATCAGATACGTCGATCAACTTTAACTATTCACTGCTACAATATTAAAAAAGGTAAAGGAAGTTAAAATGACACATGATTTTTGTAATCAGAAATTCCTGTATAACAGAACTTCAACCTCACATTGCAGCGAACTAAAAATTCAAGTATGATTTATCACATTGCTACAAGTGCCACACTTGCCAATGTATGACAAGGCGTTAAAACTAGGAATAGTTTCTTTACAGAAGCGCTTCTCGCAGATTCCACAAAAACTTGGACCACCAGCAAGCTAGCAGTGTGAATAAAAAGCGATAGGAACGTTGCTCTAACCTTCAGTCAAACGGAACTAAGCCTGCCACCGGTAATCCGCATTTCCGTCGATGATCTAGCAGCCACGAGCATAGTTCTGCCTACAGTAGGTGGCAGCAATAGCGTGGTCGTAAATTAACTATTGTCACGTGGGATACAATACTCTACTGAGCTCTACGCTTTCATAACGTTGGAATATTGACAAATTAAAAAATTAGCAATTAGAAAATTTGCAGATGTCAGAGATCACCAACTTGGAAATTTATAGATGTCAAAGATTAGCAATTTGAAAATTTGCAGATGTCAGAGATTAACATCTTGGAAATTTACAGACGTTAAAAATTAGCAATTAGAAAATTTACAGATGTCAGAGATTACCAACTTGGAAATTTACAGATGTCAAAAAATAGCAATTACAAAATTTGCAGATGTCAGAGATTACGAACTTGGAAATTTACAGATGTCAAAAAATAACAATTTGAAAATTTGCAGATGTCAGAGATTAACAATTTGGAAATTTACAGATGTCAAAAATTAGCAATTTATAAATTTGCAGATGTCAGACATTACCAACTTGGAAATTTACAGATGTCAAAGATTAGCAATTTGAAAATTTGCAGATGTCAGAGATTAACAACTTGGAAATTTACAGACGTTAAAAATTAGCAATTTGAAAATTTGCAGATGTCAGAGATTACGAACTTGGAAATTTACAGACGTCAAAAATTAGCAATTTGAAAATTTGCAGATGTCAGAGATTACCAACTTAGAAGTTCACAGACATCAGAAGTTACCAATTTATAAATTTGCAGATGTCAGACATTACCAACTTGGAAATTTACAGACATCAGAAGTTACCAATTTATAAATTCGCAGATGTCAGAGATTACCAACTTGGAAATTTACAGACATCAGAAATTACCAATTTATAAATTTGCAGATGTCACAGATTACCAACTTAGAAATTTACAGACATCAGAAATGACCAATTTATAAATTTGCAGATGTCAGTCATTCCCAACTTGTAAATTAGCAAATGTAAAAATCGACACGTTCGAAAATATAAAGACAACCAACTCGTAAATTAAAAAACATCAAAAAGCTGCGTCCGAGAGTGACTGTACACAGGTATCATCCGAAGGCGTGTATTCGAATATACCGACCTAGTTTCTCTGTAGAGCAGGCGGTCCCGGTGCCGATACTCGTTCGTTCCCCATGCTGATTCATCCTACGCCTGGCCTTGTCCTCGGCTCTGAGTTTGTCCCTGGTAGGAGGGGACGCGCTGCTAGCCGGCTGATCCCTATAGCTCGACCTACCCTCGTTGGGTACGATCGGCGGCTTCTCCGTCAACGACGAGCTCCCAGACATCGTGGAAGTGGACATCGTCGACGTGGTGGAGTACACGGTGCTCGACACGCTTCCGTTCATGGGGGAGCTCGAGGAGACGGAAGACAGGTAACTGGAGCCGTTCTCCAGAGGCGTGCTGGTCCTCAAGGGAGACGAGTTCCCCAGTCGGTGATCGTTGCTCGGTTCCGTGTTACCGTTGCTCATGTTCCCGCTGCTGGCAGTTGTCACCACGCTGTTCGTCACCAGAGATGGCGTCGAGGAGAAAACGGACGAGCACAGATCCGACGAGACGTTCGATTCGGGGATCCACGTGTTGCTTCGGGGCTCGGAGCGACAGCTGTTGAATCGCGGCCGCGGGGGATTCGGGGTGTTGCCTGAAAATCAATTTCGTATTGGAAATGGGTTTGGAACTGTCGGAGATAGTCTACAGGACTCCCTTGGGTAATGGTTTCTGATGTTTATGGAGATTCAGGATGTGACGTGTATTTTGTGGTTTCGTTGGGGATGAAGGGTTATAGGCTTATGAATGGTGATCCTTTCAAGGTTTACGAGAGCTTTGGACCGGAGGATTTTGTTCTGGTACTATATTTTGTGGTAGATGCTTCTAACAGTAAAGTTTGGGATACTTCAAGATTTATAGTAAAAAGAGACACTGTGTTTGAGTACAAAGCCATACTCATGAGAGTACATCTTCATTTTCGATGAAGGTGCTATACATAAAGTATAAAATATCTAAAAGGCACCTTCATCCTTGACGAAGGTGCTATACATAAAGTATAAAATATCTAAAAAGCACCTTCATCCTTGACGAAGGTGCCATACATAAAATATAAAATATCTAAAAGACACCTTCATCCTCACTGAAGGTGCTATACATAAAATATAAAATATCTAAAAGACACCTTCATCCTCGATGAATGAATGCTATACATAAAATATAAAATATCCAAAAGCCTAATGCCAGTAATGAAATATAGTACTCACTTCTAATCGTCGGAGTAACCTGAAGAATGGTAGTCTGTCCACCAGGGAACGTGGCATTCCGCTTATGTCGACCCTGGAACATTTCAATCATTTATTTCCCTCCGGTCTCGACCGTTCGATCAACCGCCGACGGGGTTTACGGACAAAATGTCATCTTATTCTCACGCGAAATCGTTAAGCCGCAATGAGATATTGAAATCCCGCTAACTGCTAGAGGCCACCGTCTGGTTGGCCGATTAAAAAAAACCACACTCATTATTAAGTTGCATCGACGTCGCGGCACCAACACGGAATGTCGTAGAATTTGCACGTGGGCGAAGCGACGAGGGCAGGCGCGTGCACGACCAGGTCGCGGTAGGCGGCCGCAATAACGGCAGATAAGAGCCACGCTGATAATATTCCGCGAGGGTACGCTGTTCGCGACGTGCATAATTCATAAGCGTCCGTGTACCGGACGATGCCGGACAAATGCAAACGCGAACGATTCAATCGATCCTCGAGCGTCAGATCCTCTTGCTCGATCTCTCGATACTGGTTGCGATAATATTGCAGAAAATTGACTAAATATGGTGAGATGTAAGGAGAGTATTTTGTAACGGGCTGATAGAAGCATTTCGCAACTGAAGTTGAAGGAAACGGAAGTACTTCGTAACTGAAGTTGTAAGGAAACGTAAGGATCTCGAGTATGAAGTTGCAAGAATGTATGAATACTTTGGGTCTGAAATTACAAGCAGATAGGAATGTTTCGCAACCTCAAGTTGAAAACAAACAGAATCATTTTGTATTTAAAATAAGAAGAAAATAAGAGTATTTGCAGTCTGAAATTGTAAGAACATATGAATATTTTGTATCTGAAATTACAAGCAGATAGGACAATTTCGTAACCTCAAGTTGAAAGTAAACAGGATCATTGCATATCCGAAGTTGCAAGACAATAAGATTATTTTCAGTCTGAAATTGTAAGGACATATGAATATTTCGTATCTGTAATTGCAAACAGACAGGAATATTTCACAATCTCAAGTTGGAAGTGAACAGAATCATTTCGTATCTGAAGTTGTAAGGAAACAAGAGTAGTTCGAGTCTCAAATTACAAGAAGATATGCATACATCGTATCGGAAGTTGTAAGTAAACAGAAGTGTTTCATATCTGAAGTTACAAGGAAATATAAGTAGTTTGAGTCTGAAATTACAAGGAAACAGAAGTATCCGGAAGTGAATAGAAGTATCCAGGAGTAAATAGAAGTATCCAGAAGTGAATAGAAGTATCCAGAAGTAAATAGAAGTAGCCAGAAATATCCAGGAGTAAACAGAAGTAAACAGAAGTATCCAGAAGCATCCAGAAGTAACCAGAAGTATCCAGAAGCCTCCAGAAGTAAACAGAAGTATTCAGAAGCATCCAGAAGTAAACAGAAATATCCAGAAGTAACCAGAAGTATCTAGAAGCCCCCAGAAGTATCTAGAAGCCCCCAGAAGTATCCAGAAGTATCCAGAAGTATCCAAAACTATCCAAAAGTATTCCGAAGTATCCAGAAGTAAACAAAACTATCCAAAAGTGTCCAATCTTAAATTACAACCAAACACTAATATTTCGTAACTGAATAAACCACCATAACTTCATACCAGAAGTTGCAAAGAAACAGGAATATCTAGTACGTGAAATTGCAAAATTCATTGATATACGAACAATGGAGTAAACTTCATCGGTAGGAGGTGATAAAACGAAGTGTTCACGGTTAAATCAACGACAAGGAGCGATTTATCGATTAAAACGAGAAGCAGTTTCAATGAAGTGTCCATGGATAAAGTATAACCGCAGTCGCAGTAACAAACGATCGATCAATAAACATGAGAAACGGTAGTTGCAATAAAATATCCGTGGGTGAAGTGCAGTTGCATTGGCTGCAATGAATCATCGATCGATAAAAATGAGACGTAATAACTTCGATAACATATCACTCGTAACACCCAAACGGTCAATTGTGTCGGTGCCGAGGAAAATTTCAATAAATAGTCCAACTGACCCGACTAACGAACGCTTGACCTTTCGCTTCCGGTAAACTTCAGATTTTTAGATCGGTACATGTTTTTTACTAAATAATTTACTAGATAATTTTATCTAGTAAAAAGACGTGTTAGATTTTTAGATCGAGTCAGGTTTTTATACGAGAGGTGATTCGTCAAAGTCCAAAAGCTTCCGTGTTAAGGAAACGCGCAATAAGAAGAGAAAATGCATAGATAGGCATCGAGAAGTCCTCCTGGGATTGTTTCGCAATTAACGCGATCGTACAGGTGTCTTGTTTGGCCTGCGAACAAGCTGATCTATCGCGTACAGCTTTTACGACTAGTTCGAGGCGAAGCAAGGAAGAAAAATAAGAGTGGACGTGTCCTGTGCGCATTCACCGCTCCGCTACTTACACGCGAGCGTGTTGGCGTACGTACGCGTCGCCTTGGCCTCTTAACGTAATCGTACGTTTACACCGTGCCACAGGTCCACGACGATCACGACGTCGAGGTGTTTCCATTTGCCGATCGATCGTGCCTTGCGTAACGGAAATCGACGCAACGTTTCGTTCGATAAATGCGTGGAACGTTTCCTAAACGATTCCGTGCAGTTCCGAGCTTGTTCCCTCCCTTCATCGGCTACGATTTAACGCCTATCCACACTTTTTCGCAAATAATCGCAGCTTAACGAAAAGAAAACCTCCAAGTTTTGGAACTTGGGAGAGTTGGAACTTGGGAGATTAGGAATTTGGGAGAGTTGGGACTTGAGAGATTGGGAATTTGGGAGAGTTGGAACTTGGGAGAGTTAGAACTTGAGAGCTTTGGAACTTGGGTGGTTTGGAACTTGGGTAGTTTGGAACTTGGGAGAGTTGGAACTTGAGAGATTGGAACTTGGGAGAGTTGGAACTTGGGAGATTTGGAACTTGGGAGATTGGAACTTGGGAGATTTGGAACTTGGGAGAGGTGGAACTTGGGAGACTTGGAACTTGAGAGATTGGAACTTGGGAGAGTTGGAACTTGAGAGATTGGGAACTTGGGAGATTGGAACTTGAGAGATTGGAACTTGGGAGAGTTGGAACTTGAGAGATTGGAACTTGGGAGAGTTGGAACTTGAGAGATTGGAACTTGGGAGAGTTGGAACTTGAGAGATTGGAACTTGGGAGAGTTGGAACTTGAGAGATTGGAACTTGGGAGAGTGGAACTTGGGACAGTTGGAACTTGGGAGATTTGGAACTTGGGAGAGTTGGAACTTGGAAGCTTCCGAACTTGGGAGATTTGGAACTTGGGAGATTTGAAACTTGGGAGTGTTGGAACTTGGGAGATTTGAAACTTGAAAGACTACACTTAACACCACACAGACTACATCTAAAAAAATCTACTATACCTCATAATAAAATTACAAATCACTAAAAAATTCTGATGAAGATATGAAAAATAAAACAGTAGGTTAGTCGAATGAGACCCCGATCTTAAAGCAATCGGCACTGACGCCTCCAACCTGAAACAACCAGGTAGAAACGGATTCGCTGAAGTCGGAATCCTACAAACAGATGAAGAAGAAAATAAGCTCGGCAAAAGTGCGATAATGCACGATCATTAGCGCGGCCTGTCGCGGCGTCACGCTCGTTACAGCTCGAAATAATGCCGGTTGCTCGCAAAACTACGTCGCGGTCGCACGCTGATCGCCGCTTTTCTGCTCGATCGTTCCGCGCGTTTCGAACCGCTCCTTTCCCCGGCTTCTTCTGCGCGTTTCTTCTCGCCACCGGCTGGAAAAGAGGTGATTATGCGTCTCGAAATGCCGGAGAGAAAAGGAAGCTGCGAATACCGGAACGATCGGTCTCGATGTTCGTTAATCCGCTGGAGAACGATTCAATTCGATTCCGGAGCAGGTTCGATGCCTGACAACCACAGCCCCCTGTTCGACTGCTGTAGGCTTCACTCAATTAATTTTAATTGAGTACAATTTGATGCACCGTAGTGGACATCGTTGGAAATCTAGTTTCCCTCGCTTCTCTTTATGACACGAGCTTTGTGAAGACTATTATTATTGATACCCAGTTTATCATGCTTTAAAAAATTAATTAAAAAGGTTTAATACATTGTGGCAGTTTAATCTAACTTAACTTATTATATCAGACATGATTTAACTTCATGATTGAAATAAGTTGAACTGCAGTTATTATATTTAATAACTGATAGTTATTAACTTTATTAGTTATTAACTAATAATTAATAGTTATTAACTAATTCCGTAAAGTCTAATTCAAAGTCCTCTGGCAATATATGAAGCAGCGGTGTAAGAAGCGTAAGAATATTTTCATAACGTGCTTGACATGGAAAGCCAAGATGTTAGATAATCGTAGCAGCTGCGAGTGAATATTTTCCAGCGGCGAAATTGGTCTTCTCGTTGGAAGAGTGACCCGTGGCTGAAACTGTTAACGTGCCGACACCGAGACAATAAGAGAGTTCTGATTTTATCTAGCTCGCGCGATCTACGCGTCGTTTCGCGATCGTTCGATAGATCAAGGTGCTCGGTTGGGAATCGTGTAGCCTGTCGTCGAGAGACTGTCGTTTTGCCGCGTTACTGAAAGTCAGACAACGCGTTGCGCAAGAAATGATCGATGGGAGAGGAGAAAACGCTTCGGCCGATTTTACAAACACCGGATGAAAGATTCGGTCGTGGACAAAAACGATTTAACCGAGTTTGCGATGTGACAAGAGTTTTCGGTGTCAATCATTTGTCAAAGTCCTTGGAGGAGTTTCCGAAATCTCCCAAATTCCCAATCTCTCAAGTTCCAACTCTCCCGAGTTCCAAATCTCCCAAGTTCCAACTCTCCCAAGCTCCAACTCTCCCAAGTTCCAACTCTCCCAAGGTCCCACTCTCCCAAGTTCCAACTCTCCCAGGTTCCCACTCTCCCAAGTTCCAAATCTCCCAAGTCCCCACTCGCCCAAGTTCCCACTCTCCCAAGTTCCAACTCTCCCAGGTTCCCACTCTCCCAAGTTCCAAATCTCCCAAGTCCCCACTCGCCCAAGTTCCCACTCTCCCAAGTTCCAACTCTCCCAGGTTCCCACTCTCCCAAGTTCCAAATCTCCCAAGTCCCCACTCGCCCAAGTTCCCACTCTCCCAAGTTCCAACTCTCCCAGGTTCCCACTCTCCCAAGTTCCAAATCTCCCAAGTCCCCACTCGCCCAAGTTCCCACTCTCCCAAGTTCCAACTCTCCCAGGTTCCCACTCTCCCAAGTTCCAAATCTCCCAAGTCCCCACTCGCCCAAGTTCCCAATTTCCCAAGTTCTCACTCTCCCAAGGTCCCACTCTCCCAAGTTCCAACTCTCCCAGGTTCCCACTCTCCCAAGTTCCAAACCTCCCAAATTCCCAATCTCGCAATTTTCCAATCTCCCAAATCCCCAAATCCTTGATATAGCGAAACCTAGCTCTATAAAAGATTTGAAGACCCTAAACTCAGCAAAACTGTTGCTGAAACTACTAAGATCTAACCTAAATAAAGAATACCTAAATTACACTCGAAAAAATCTCATTGCGACCTTACAATAAAATGCAGCGTACAACGATACTACTAAAAGTGACCGCCAGACAGTTATACCTAAAGTAAGTTTACGTATATAAACGAACCTTATTCCTCGAGTAAACCTGAAGAACATCGGCCCACCACCTAGTTTCTTCACGGCACGTGCCTTTGACGAAGGTAACTCCTTCGGGCGAGGTGATGGCGAGGCTGTAAGGATGTCCGGTGATGTCCTCGGCAGCGGCGACCTCCAGCACCCGGGTCATGTCGATTCTCGCTTGAGGCACCGTTTCCGGCTGTAACAGAAACGAACAGGTTAGTTTTAACACAGTCTCGATTAAGCAGTCGTGGTCGGCAATTTAATTGACCGATACCCGGTAGCCGATCATTTAATTTAATAACACAGCAATTTTATGATAATCGAAGCCGCTAGAACGACCAAGTCATCGAGGGAAAACTTAGAAATGGTAACTGGGTCGATTGAAAAGCAATTTAAATCTCATTTAAAGCTTCCTTCCAAGTTTCGTTATTTATAGCGTCGATTACGGTTAATCGAAAAGGGAAATTATTTTCCGCGATTTTTTGATTAATGCGTTGGAACAGTGATGAGTTAATGCTGTCGAGGTTAGAATCTTCTAATCTGACGTTAGATTGTCACGTGATGTATCGCCATTATGTTCGTTAAATAACAGACTCGCTGGTAATTAATTAAGAGTAATTCGTTACGAGAATGTAGGAAATATTCCCCTTTTTTCGACGTTACGTAGCAGATTGTGATAGGTATGTCATTACAAAATCTATCAGTTAATGACTGAAAGTACTTGGCAGCATTCTAGATTTAATTATACGGTAGTAGAATGACTTTACTACTCGGATATTTCTTATAAGTGCTCTAATTTCTTGCACATTTTCTTCGCTTCCTGCTCCTTCGTATTTAACGTCTATATTTCATAGCATATCTCTATTCACGCAGCTAGATTTTTCCGAGCAATCTTGTCCCGTTATTCCTGCAAACTGGTCATTTCTCTCTTTTAATCATTACAGCCTTCCGCTAATAATGTAGCTGTTTATACATTTTTCGTGGCGTTCATCATCCTGAGAATCAATGATTTCCTTTGTTCCAAATTCTTATTCTTAGATGGAGACTCTTTACAAGGCAGGATGTTACTGAAATATCACATTCGACAAAATTTCTCGATTTTTACAGAATACATAAGCAAAAATCTGTTTTTGAAGATTCTTTAGGAATTCATATAGGAATTTTTTCATGAAGTCTCAAAGGAATAACATGTGGTGCAGTTAGCTGTTTTCAAAATTTTACAAATATCTATTGTAGATTGTACTCTGCAAGTCTTGTTCTGAATTCAGTGCATAATCCATGTATTACCTCTGTTTTTTAACAGCATAGCAAAAGGCTAAAAAATAGTGCACCACTGAAGTGTCTTCAAAATTTGTATTGATATTTATAGTACACTATATGCTGCAAGTTTTATTCTGGACTCTTTGTATAATCCATGTTCGACTTCATTTTTTAACAGCATAGTAAAAGGATAAAAAATGTTGCACACTGAAGTGTCTTCAAAATTTGTATTGATATTTATAGTACACTATATGCTGCAAGTTTTATTCTGGCCTCTTTGTGTAATCCATGTTCGACTTCATTTTTTA